GGGGTCCCTCCTAAAGTCCTTAGGTTTTCGTTTTTCAGGAACAAGGTCCGTTGGCTGATTTTGGCAGCTTCGCTCTCTCCGAGATTTGGGCATGGCTAGTGGATTAACCGCCCAAGGTTCCGAAACCCTCAAAGGTTTGGGGTTTAGGGTTTAGGGTAAACCCTACAACCCTCAACCCTAAACCCTGTTCCCCCTAATTAGGCCTAATTAGGTTCGATTAATTCAGGCGGAACTCAGGGCAGGGGGTCGTAAAGGCGGTGTGGCTAGCAGAACCTATCAGAGTTTGGTCGGGCTGCCGAATGCTTGGGACATGGAAGATAGTAGATTGCTTACTTATGGTAGGGTTTGTACTTATGGCTTGGTAGGCAATGAAGGAGTGGAATATCGTGATAACCGTTATTGGGGATTGCAAGGGATGCTAGAGGGATCCATTCCCCCATGCCCTATGAACCCACCAATAATGGAACTGCAGCATGGAGCCTTATCGTCTAGGCAACTTGCGGGCAATCCCAGGCAAGTTACAACACCTTGAACCCTAGTGTAAACTCCCTTCCCTTAACAGGGACTATCATAGGGATCCTAAAATTCAGGCCTTTACAAAGAAGGAGGTTTAAAAAGGAGGGGGTTTATTAATCACGGGTCTACATTAAACTTGATCAACGCAGAGCCAGCAATGGACCAGCCACTATTCGGGCATAGATTTACGAATTATGCGAAGGATTTTTATTGCATGCATACCCTAGGCTCTGTAGAACCCCGACAAGATACAGTTTTTGAAGAGCTGTCACGTGTAGAAAAAGGCCGTAGTGGCAGATTCAGAAGTTTCAGTGACATCTTCTGGATGGGTCTTGGAGCCCCCCACCAGGATTTGAGACCTGGCGTGATGGCAGAGGTTGTGACCGAAAAAGCCGGATCATGTTGATGGCAAGTCAGCGAGAATCAGCCTTCCGAAAAGGAACCGTGTGGGGGAATTGACGACAGTCCGGAGCATGGAAGTCAGCCAGGGTGTAATCCTCGGGCTGGGTTGTTTTTTGTTGTGGTGGTTGGGAACATGCGTCCGACGCGTGGCTCGACAAGCGCTGAGAGCAACTGCCCGTCAGTCATCATCATCTGCCTTTCCGCCCACCCGTTTTGTCTCGCTGAAAATGGAGGGCCTCAACAACGGCGACACCGCATGGATGGCCATGTCCTGCGCCTTGGTTCTCTTCATGACGCCCGGGTTGGCATTCTTTTACGGCGGATTAGTACGCGATAGCAATATCGTGAACACTATGATGATGAGCATCATCTCCATGGGGCTCACGACTCTCACTTGGATGATCTTCGGCTTCTCCTGGTCCTTTGATGCCTGGGGCGCCGGCAAGGGCTTCACCTACGTGGGCTTCCGCAACTTGGACGGTGTCTGGCCCGACACCACGATGCCAGGCCAGGTCGAAGGTTGAAGACGGAGTAAAATCAATGTTGTTTCCCTTCTCCTTGATTTACATGTAACCATAGTAAATGGTATAATCTATACCCTTTATTCCGGTTTATGCTGTAGAGTCGTGAGGGATGGGGCGGGGTACGAGTGTGTAATCCCCAAAGCGTTGAGCCGAATGTGAAGCAAGCGTAAGTGTGAAGGCTTGACCTTTGCCATTTTCCAGATGACCTTCGCGATAATTGGGGCCGCGATTATCTCTGGCGCAGTGGTGGAGCGCATCCGCTTCTCTGCCTATGCTATCTTCATCGTCGTTTGGGTGCTGGCTGTTTATGTCCCGCTGTGCCACTGGATTTGGGGCGGCGGCTGGATCGCCGAGATGGGTGCCAAGGATGGTTCTTCTCAGTTCTTCCCTGCGAATATTCTGTGTCTTTGAATGATGCGTTCGTGCTCCTTATGCTGATTCCCCTGAGTAGAGTTGTTCTAGGAATATTTCACGCATGCGAAGGATTTTGCGGGAGGCACCGTGGTGCACATCAGCTCCGGCACCTCCGCCATCGCGCTGGCGTCCCTGCTGGGTGAGCGCAAGCACCGGGCGGAGAGCTTCCCGTCAAACCTGCCCTTCGTGATCCTGGGTGGGGGCATCCTCTGGCTGGGATGGACCGGCTTCAACGGCGGCTCGGCCTTCGCCGCCAACGGCGACTGTGCTCTGGCCGTCGCCACCACGTATGTGGCTGCCGCAGCCGCCATGGTTGCCGGGCTTGTTTTGAGATCGCACTTGACTGCATGCTTCTGATGCCGTATGCAGCGCAAAGTAGGTTGAAGTAAGGCTGAAGTTGATATCGTGCAAGTGTTCTTACTGCATCTTGATCTTGTGATTCTTCCTGTGGCTTAGATCATGTGGGTCACCGT